CAGAGAAAAAATAATTTGTTATTGATTATTTGTTTAGTGTTTAGTCATGTGGCAATTGCCAAGGATTTTGGTAAGCAAGCTGCAACTTTTGAGATCAAGGAAGAAGGATTTGTAAGCATGATGCAGCGTAAATTACAAAGTCTAAATCTTGCTGAGCATCAGCAAAAAATGCAGGATGTGGCTAGAAAGAAAGTAGAAGAGCCAGGTGCTATTGCAGGTATAGGTAAGGCAACCAAGACTATTAGTCATAATTTTGACCCAAGTTATGTTTTAGATCAGGATGTAGTTTTGCCATGCGGTAAGCTCTTATATGCAAGAGGTACAAGAGTTAATCCGCTAGATTATATGTCATGGGACGGCACACTAGTATTTATTGACGGTCGAGATAAAACGCAAATAGTTTGGGTAAAAGATAATTATTTAGAGGAGATATTATCAAATAGCAGAGCAGTAGTGGAGAACAACTTAAGCGAGTTAAATAAAGAGCATGCGAAGAATGCTAGTAGCTCTGACGGTACTAAAATCATCTTAACTGGTGGTAGACCGCTTGAGCTAGAAAGAGAAATTGGTAGTCCAATATATTTTGATCAAGCAGGAGAATTGACAAGAAAGTTTAATATTAACTATGTGCCGGCAATAGTAGAGCAAGAAGGTAAGTATTTAAAAATCACTGAAATTAACATAAGTAATAGCAGATAACATGATAACAAATTAATAACATGAATGATCAAATAAAGAGTTTGACCTTTGGCGAGGTATCTTGCAGGAATTTCGCCAAAGGTTGGATGAAACATACAAAAGTCATCACAGTTTTGATTATGGTAATTTTTTTGCCATTGTCAAGTTATGGCAATACTTGTCAGGGGAGATTTGTTAACCCTATAACTGATATTTGTTGGTCATGTTTACTGCCAATTTCTATTGGTGGTTTTAATATAGGTAAGGGTAGTAGTCCAAAGAAGAGGGACACTAAAAATCCCAGCTCGCCACTTTGTTTATGCACCAAGGATAATGTGCCAATTCCAGGCATTGCTGTTGGCTTTTGGGAGCCA